TTATGGAATGTAGAAAGAGAATAAGTTGACAATAAAAATTTAAAGTGCTCGATTAAAGACATCTATTTATTATCATCCTGATTATTCCCTAGGATTCTGAGTAGATTATAAGATAACCAAAACACTTTTCTGTTTGACTCTGATATTTGGGGTCTTTTTTATATGGTTACAGCATAGACTATACGCTCCTGTCTGCTCCTCCTCTCCACATCGTCGTTTCCTTGTCAACATCGGACCAATGACCAAGTCACTGTTTTCCATTCAGCTTCTGATCGAAGGCCTATATAATGCATTGATTTCAGTCAACTATTCTTCTTTGTTGGTTTGTTGTCAGGGTTTTTTGTCGCTAATTCATACGAATCAGCTTAAAGTAGTAAAATCATAGTATGATTCATTCTGTGATCGGATGACTGTAAAGTTTCATCATCTTACCCTTGCACCTTGGTCTTGGTCCAATCGTCAACCAATCAGAACAATGTATTTTCCACTGCCCTGGGCCGACTTTAATGTGGTTAAACATGTATAAATAAATATGACGTGCTTTCTTTCCCTAACAAAATATTGTATCCTAACAGTCACATATCAGTCTTTGTCTTTTCCATATATTTACTTGGTTCAGTGAAGTGAAAGGTACCAAAGACGAATAGGCGTGCTAACAATGTCAGCTGAGTTGTTCATTGCGCCAGTGCTGTTATTATACCCATGCATAAGCCTACTTGGTCATATCAACTGTGGACGCTATCATATCAATTAACGACAGGTCAATAACAAATAATCGATTAGTTATCTTTTAGATATTCTTATTCTCCATGCTTCGATTCTCTGAACCAAATAAAAAATGCACTATTTTGATAGATCGACTTTATTGAGTACATTAGACTTTAAGATTTCTTTTATGGCAGTGAAAGCTTGCCTGAATTCTACCTTTAAAATCCTCATTTATGCGAGCCTGAATAGCTCAGTGGTCACGTCTCTGACTGAAGCACTGGGTGACGCGGGTTCGAATCTCAGAAGGGACATGAATCCCTTCAGGGTTGCAGATACTCCCTGATAATGAGTGCCAATTAGCACGAAACTTAGGTCTAAGGCTTCCTGCCGATTGCCTCACACTATCTAATATCATCAAATCAATGTGCACCATGATGGCGAGCTACCTAGAATGGTGGCCACATTGCAAAACCTGACTGACTGATAGAATTCAGTCTGCCCCAAAGAAAGGACTAGACACGTCACACTAGTTACAAATGTCCAATCAAATATTTGTCAGGATCCTTGACATCCTGGGGTAAAGTGATACGAAGACATGAAAATTTCGTTCCACAGTATCATGATGTTGCCAGATGTCAAGTGATTCACGGCGGAATACTCAGTGGAGACTTTGAGGTGGTTGACTACTGGTGTAAGACGAGGCTGCCTAAAATCACCGGTGATATTTCTTATTATAGGGAACTAAGTCATATAAAAACTATCGATTTGTATATATCATTTCACACAGACTCGAAAATCTAAGGGTGAAATCCAACAGTTTTGACAGTAAAAGCACCAAAGACTGAGCTTCATATCAATATGGAGAAGGCCGAAGTTAAAAGTGAGGAAGATATCCATGAAATGAAAACAACAGATACCAGTCTCTATCAACAGCAGAGACTTGAAGGATGTCAACTATTCCAGTCAGTTAGAGTCCAGTGAAAACCAGAAACAGGGAGTACTGAACAGCAGCACGCAATCACCCTCGAAGTTCGAACCCGCGACCTCCTAACTGCAAGACAAGCTTCTAGAGCATTCATCATCTGTCGGGACCCATCCGACTCAATGGCCAGCCCATGAAATCTAACTTCTACACCAGTTTGTGATTTCAATACGACTGATGACAGCCAATCCGGTAGGTATATAGTGTCCATGAGCACTAAACTAGTAGCAGGCATCTGTTCATTACTCCCTCCCTGACTGAATTTCAAAGGTCTTACAGCGGTCAAACATCCATCTGTAATCACACCTGAAACAAATCAAATCCGTAAAGAAAAATTAACTGGAAAATTAAATGGAAATATATATGATCATCAACAGGAGACGCAGGTGAGTATTTCAGAATTGGGATCAAGATAGCAAGATAATCAATCCTTTATTACTGTGAAACCAGTGTTGAAATATATTGAATTTAGCATAAAATGGAACATACAGATATTTAATAATAATGCTAAATCACTGCTTCTATACGCTTAGGAATTCTGGCAAATCATACAATAATCATTTCAAACAGACTGCTAAGGAATTACATGAACATCACGCCTTATTTGTCTCAACAATCAAGATAAGATGACTAGCTAGAACGGACACAAGTTACAAAGAGGTCCGCAAAACAAAACAACGTGAACCATTTATCGAACAACATGCCCAATTTGGTGCAATTAAAAGTCAACAGATACCCTTCTCATGTTAAAGAGTCTAACTGTATGTTTACAAATTTACATGTCTCTTTGGGAGCAGTTACTTCGATTTTCTGAACATTTACCAAAAAGTCTACATCTCAGTGGAACAAACGCTCACAGAAGTTTCATTATCAGACACCTCATCAATACGAGTCGTTAAGAAATCCTTTCAAATTATCAGTAGGCAAGAGAGTTCAATGCTTCCGAAATTTGCCGAAGAAATCTCCATCATGCACCTTAAACCTGATTGATGTGTCTGTTAAGAAAGAAGCAGTTATCAGTCTTTTCTTCACCTTGTAACTGAATGTCTTTATGCTCCCTTTCATTTTATTACGTAGCTCTAAAAAATTCCATTGTGTATGATTATTATTATTATTACCACTGTATGCATATACTGACTTTTTGCTTAAACGTGAACTCTCTGCATGTGTTAAAATTGTTTCTCCACTTCAACTAAGTAATAATAATAATAATAATTTATAATTCGTGTGAAATAACTATTTTACAATTATATCTTAATCTTGTGCAATTTTTGTGTTTCTAAGGCTTTTGTAATCTATGTTCACACCTCCTAACTAACATGTCAAGTTGAAAATTTTGATTTCAATTTGTTTCCATGCTCGTTTTGTTCATACCTGTAGTTCGTCCTATCCCTGCGTTTCTAAACCTCTTGTAATTCATATCAAGTCGAAAATAATTATCACCTGCGATTCACCTTTAAAATTATTTCTCCAGTTATCAAATATTAATTTTTTGCATACGTTGTAACTATTTTCTAATTCTATGAAATCTTGTCTCTAAGCCTCTTGTAATCTATATTCGTACCTTCAAACTATCATATCAAGTTGAAAATTATTATCACCTTCGTTACTATGTGAAATTAAACAAATAATAATTCTATCCATGTTAGAATAATCTATATAAATGCGATTGTACAGCTGGTTTTGAGAATGAAATCGCCGAAAAGATATCTTTGCTGAACTTCGTGTTCTCTTCTTTCTAATGTTCATATGGGTATTTTCCAAGAACTTAAGTAATAATACCTTTGTACTTTAAGGAGCTGATGAGAAGCTAACTAAATAAACAATGATGGTATTTTATGGTGTCACACTTTCTATCGTTTAAATCGTTACTCTGCTATTTTATATTAGTTGGTATTACTATTATTACTACAATTTTGTACTTTATACATATTTTTCTCCGTATGGCACACAGTATTTTGCTACGTAGCTGCTACAACAATCGTTTTATTACTATTATGTATTGTGTATTTTTAATTTTTTTTGTCGCTTTTGGGTAAATTAGATGCAATATTGTACTGAATGCTGAAAATTCCTTGCTGTATCATGAGTACTGTTTTTGGAATAAAGCAATGATTATTATTATTATTTATATTGCACAAACTTGTTCTTTTTAGAGTTGGTTTGTTCTTTTTAGATTCAAAATCCAGTCTACTGAGAAATATGCCAAACATAAAAGAGTTCAGATGGATTGGACGCGCACACATTATGAGTAGACGTTCCGCGAACATCACTTGCCTGGCGGTCTCTCAATTGGATCTCGAATAGTAGACTATAGATAGGATATTCGAAGGTGATAAAAGTGGGGGAGGTCATGTCAAGAGGGGGAGAGGAACAAAAGGTTATGACCAACTGCTAAACTTGCTTTAAATGGATTAGAGAGAATAGAGTGATAGGAGGGATTCACTCTGGGCAAATTTCTATGTTCCACTTGAAAGCCAAGTCCATGTTGAATGGATGCTAACTAAATCCTATCTCGAAATGATCACAGATGGCAGCTAACACATCATTTAGGTATACTTTGAATCTCCAAGGGGACATATAAGAGTAATGGTTTTATTATGAAAAAATATTTTCAGAACGTTTATTCCACGATATTTCTTCGCCGTCCACGACCTTCAGATGAGAAGTATCAATTATAAACAAAGATCAAGTGACACAGTTGTGTATGACCTAAAGAGCAAACTGAGTCATTATGTGATACCTGTTCTTCTTCTCCTTCGAAAAATACATAACGACATTTTGCAGATTGGCAAGTAAGAAAAGTTCAGTAGGAAGATTTTTGAAACAAAGAGACTACTGAGAAATGATCATCTCATTCACTGGCATGTTCATATCATCGTGGATAATGCTTGTTCACATGTTTAGTAGACACTTGCGAATCAGTAGGTTTTTGATAGTTTTAAATACCCGCCAGAGTAAACAATAAATAGTACTAGAACTTATATTTTACAAGATTTAAACAAATTGAACACGAGAAACTATCTGCAATGTACTGATGGAGATGGTTTTCAGAAAGGTAGCCCAAGTTTTAGGCAGGCCGCCTTTTCAACGATTGGTGCCTGATAAGCACCCATAAGCCTTCCTATCACAGTAATCTCTAATACCGAATGAATTAGTCACCCTTGCCAGATATTTTCTTAATAATACAGTTGAATATTACATAACCGCACACACTACAATGACTAGTCTTCATAATAAACCAGTCATCTCACCACATATCACAGTGAAATAGAAACAACGCATAAAAGAGAAAATGTTTTATACTTACAAGATAATGCACCACCCATATTCTCTTGTTCACATATAGTTTTTTTTTAAATAGGCGAGGAAAGTGGGTTGAGAAATGGGAACAGTCACTTCTTGATTTGACTGGTTAGTTCCATTGAACTGTACACCGAAACAGTGTACAACATTAAAAATCAGGCATTCATTCAATCATTAGAAGAGTGTTGATTATTAATAATTTTGTACACTTTTTTCAGAAGTATTAATCCACAGATATAATCACACAGTTGAGCACAACTGTTTTCTCTTTTGAGATCTTTTTACTACTGCTTCTGCCTCATTCATAATTAAGATTTTCTCTAGTTTCACCAATAAGAGACAATGACACAGGATTAAACTAGTGACATATGGCATCATATGATGTGATGAGTTTGAGCAATTATGGTGTCGTTTTGGCGTGTGCGTGGGTGTTACCAAGTAGACTATGCAGTGAAACACAGCCTAATCATCAAGAGGTGTGGGTGGATGTGTATGCTTGTGTAGAGATCAGAGAAAGTACACTAAATACACATCATTTGGATCAATAATTAAGCAGTTGTTATTTTGTTTTTTTTTTACAAAAGTTCAAATTTTAACAACTTTTTACTAATAAAATTTAATAATTAACGAAAATGAAAACGAAATGGATTTTGTTCAGCAAAGTGAACTCTTTTCTAATTCATTAAAAATTCACAAAAGGAATGAAAAACGTAGTTGAGCGAAGTGGCTGATGCCGTATTTTGGTCTGACCACCACTAGCTGGGTCTTTGCCAATCTAATAAATTCTATGTCAGTTAAGCTAACATTTCCCTTCGAGGAAGGCGATTGGTGGTTAGGCTGTCACGCGTAATGCACGTCCTAAGCATACGTCCTAGGCATACAGAGAATGAAGCGAGCTGCTGAGCAGTACACACGTGCTTTGGTCGATAGCCAGCCTTTGGATATCACGTCTACCAAGTCAAAGATGTGATAAGTTAAGAAATGCCAAACAACCATTCTCTTTCCGTGATGTGGTTTCGTCAGCGATTAACCAACTGGGTTTGGTTGATACAACTCCTCAAATAAGTGAGTGAAGTGGTGGTCAGCACGCTCTACCAATTCACTGTCGCCTACCTTTAAGTTAGGAGTCGATGTAGTCTTAACAGGAGCGAATCGCATGCCAATCGGATCTCAGGCGTTTGATTCTAGCGAATTCTCCGATAAACTTGAAGTGAGTTGGAATATTCAGTCTGTTTTTGATAATTCAAAAGAATTTCGTGATGTCTATTTCATGACCGTACTTTTTGTGTTACTCTCAGTTCCTATCATCAATTACTCCTAGTCATTGGAACAACAAGCAGAGGAATCCTCGAAATAATAATAAAAATAATGTCACGTTTCTCTGAATCATTGGGTTGTTATGCTTGTTGATAAATTTCGTGGGAAAAAGAGGTATTCAATTTGGATGAAGGTTTCTTTCAAAAATGTGTAAATCCACTTTCAGAGTCTCAGGATTACTTATGGAACATCGGATGCAAGTTGCAAGGAATATAATTCAATTTTGATATTTCTTCAACAAGCGTTCAAATGTATAAATCTGTGAGTTGATCGATTTACATATGTGTTTCCTATGGACTAACCTCCTTAAGATTTCGTCGCGTCATCTTGTTGCTTCACCATCACGAGAGGGAACTGTGAACTCGTTTTCCGTTTCAACAGTGAATTTTTGTTACCAGATGACTGATTTTGTTGTTTCAACGGAGTCGGCGGTACAGCGGTAGAACACTCGCCAACCGCGGAGGTGGTCCCGGGTTCGATATCCGGCTGACGCACTTCTTTACCTGACTAAGCCAGTAATAAGAGTGGTAAATAGGGAAGAATAAGCCTGAGGCTGGCAAACCCATCACGTAAAGTAAACACCACTGCTTCCGAAACTTCAAGACTTTAGTTTGAAGCCCTATGTTTCACTGGGAGCATAAAGAAGTAATACTCAGCACTCAACATCAAAAATAAGATCCGGATTTTCAACTCCAGTGTGAAGATAGTGCTACTATACGGATCACAGACTTGGCGCGTCACATCACTAGACAAGGCCTCGAGTGGAACCCGAAAGGGAAGCGGCGATTTGGTCGTCAGTGTAAGGGTGACTTTGAGGAGGTCATGCGAGGAGGAGATGAAAGCATGTGGACAGACTTAAAGTGTGGTGAAAAAGTTGGCAGAAAACAGAAGGCAATGGAGACGCGCAGCTGAAGCCCTAAGTTCCTCTAGAAATTAAAGGATATAATAGTTATTATTATCGCTCCCTTGGGTTCCTAGTGGAACATAGGGCTTCAACTGTACGTCTCCACTTGCTTCTGTCTTCTGCTGTACTTTTCGCCTGCATCCATGTTAGTCCATATTCTTTCAACTCCTCTTCACACGATCTCCTCCATGTCACCCTTGGACGTCCCACACGCCGCTTCCCTTTCGGGTTCCACTCGAGGGCTTGGCGCGCGATGTCACCCAGCGGTCTCCTCAGCGAGTGTCCGATCCATCTCCACTTTCTCCTGCATATTTGTTGGGCGATTGGTTCTTGTTTTGTTTGTTCCCATAGTTTCTTGTTGGTGATTCTTTCCGGCCGCCATCTTATCTTCAGTATAGAAGCGAAGACAGTTGTTAATAAAGGTCTGCAGCCTTTTGGAAATATTCTTTGTGACCCGCCCACCAAGTTTCTGATCCGTATAGAAGAATTGACTGACTTTACGTTTGTATTGAAAATCCGAGATTTTGTTGGTGATGCTGAGTGACGAAGATTTCCAGATTGATTTCAGGTCGATGAATGTGTTTCTCGCCTTCCCGATTCTCGATTTGACATCCTCGTCCGCTCCTCCTGTAGTTGAGACAATGCTCCCTAGATAAGTGAATGAATGAAGTAACCTCTTTCAAATCCCTCCCGTTGATGGTGATTGACGTTGGATGTTGTTGCTGTTGTTGGTTGGTTATTTTCATAACCTCCGTCTTGTCTATGTTTACCTGGAGTCCTGTCTTCGCTGGCTGCTTCTTCGACCAGTTTGTCGGTTTTCGCTTGTAAGTCTTCGATTGTGTGTGACATCAAACATAAATCATCCACGCGCGAAATCCAGGTCTTCTAGGTTCTTCACGTCGGTCCAGGATATTCCTGTCTTCTCGTTTCCCACTGTCTGACGCATAATCCAGTCAGTCACCACAATTAGGAATATCATTGGTGATAGTAAGCACCCTTGTCTGACTCCTGTGTTTACTCCAAACGCCTCGCTGAGTTTTCCGTTGTGGATCACTTGACATGTGCCGTTGTCGTACAGCTGTTGAATAAGGTTGATGAATATTTGGGGTACGCCATAGTACTCGAGTAATTTCCAAATTACTTCACGATCAACGCTGTCGAAGGCCTTCTCAAAGTCTATAAAGTTGAGGTAGAGGTTTGATCGCCATTCCATGCTTTGTTCCGTGATGATGATGCGTAGAGTTGCAATTTGGTCAGTACATGATTTGCCTTTCCTGAATCCAGCTTGTTCTGGTCGGAGTTCTGTCTCCAGTGCGTCCTTTAATCTCTCCAGGATGATGCGACTCAGGATTTTACTTGGCGTCGATAGGAGCATGATTCCTCGCCAGTTCTTGCAGAGTGGGGCGCAAGTCGCCCTTCTTTGGTAGTTTCACGAGGTAACCTTTCCTCCAGTCAGTAGGCACCTTTCCCTCCTTCCAGACCTTTTGCAATAATGGAGTCAGCATGTCTGCTGTAGTCTCTGGGTCCGCTTTCAGTGCTTCAGGGGGTATTCCATCTGGTCCGGCTGCTTTTCCAGCTTTCAGAAGCTTGATTGCGTTCAAGACTTCAGCTCTCGTTGGAGGATTGGTGTCAACTTGCAGTTGTGTGCGCGCTGTTGTTGGTATTTCTGGACGGGTTGCAGGTGGTGGTCGGTTCAAGAGTCCTTTGAAGTGATCCGCCCATTGTTTAATCTGTTTTTCTTCCTTGGTAATTGGGTTCCCTTGGCTGTCTTTTATAGGTTTCGCTTGTGTTGGTCTCTTCCCGGATAGAGATTTGGTTATCTGATATAGTGTCCTCAGGTCCCTTTTGCCTGCTGCCTTCTCAGCTTCAGTGGCCAGGTTGTCGTAGAATCGTCTTTTGTCCTTCCTAGCACTCTTCTTCACTTCTTTGTCCAGTGCTTTGTAAGTTGAGCTCAGCGTCTCCTTCTCCTGTCCGTCCTTGCATTGAATCATTTTCTCTTTCACCATTCTCCTCTCTTCTATTAATTTCCAAGTGTCCGTTGAGAGCCATTCCTTGTCTTGTCTCTTCTTTCTTCCTAGAACCGTTGAACACGTTTCGTTGAGAATCGCCTTCAGAGACTTCCAATGTTCTTCCACGCATGATTCTTCAGTGCTGTCGCGTAGTGTTTCCTGCTTTGCTCTGACAGTTGCAGTGAAGGTGTCTTTTGTGGTTGTGTCCTTCAGTTTTGAGTGTTGAACTTGCATTGTGGCCTATCTCCAGCTATCCTCGAGGCTTTTAGTTTCACCTTGAAAGTCCCTTCTACTAGATAGTGGTCTGAACCCACATCTGCTCCTCTCCTTGACCTTGTGTCCAGTAGGCTCCGTCTCCACTTTCTTGAAATTGAGATGAAGTCTATTTGATTCTTGGTGTTTCCATCTGGTGAAATCCATGTCGTCTTGTGTATATCCTTGTGTTTGAACACACTACCACCAATCACCAAATCATTGAAGGCGCAGAAGTCTGAGAAGAGTTCACCATTGTCGTTCATTTCACCGAGGGCCTCACGACCCATGGTGAGTTCTCTTCCTGTGTTGTCTCGTCTCAGCTTCGCATTCATGTCGCCCATCAGGATTTTGATATCGCCATTTGGGACGTTGTCCATTATTGCTTGTAGTTGTCTGTAGAACGCCTCCTTCTTCTCTTGTTCTGAGACGTTTGTAGGCAGCATTGACATTGAATGACTGTAACTTTCCTTCCTTTTGAGTTGAACCTGGCTGTCATTATCCTGGAGGAGATTGGTTCCCACTGCATGAGAGCTTTGGC